CTATAAAATAAAGCGTTTCAATTTACGACTATGGTATAATTTATATACATAATATATGCATACCATTAATTATACAATCTATACGTGGGCATAAGCATTTTAAACTGTATAATATATTATAGCCATCCATGTATAATATAAGCCTATCGCTATCAGGATTTGGGGTGAACGGTCAACGGACCCGCCGCTCCATCAATGACACCAGAATCCGACCGGACCGGATGGTTACGTAACGTGTATGTATAATAATGTACCTATTAATTTAATGTATAGTTATAGCATTAATAATATATTCCACTTCGTCGGTTTACACGGAACGCGTCCGATGGTTGTGTAATAATAATATTATATTTTAATTTATCGTAATGGGCGCTGGGTGATGCAACAAGGAATTTTAATTGTGTAGAGAGCGGTTTTTCGGTGTTCTCCATCACCCTAATAATATTAGGTACTATCGAGTAATAGAATATATTATTATCATCATCATAACTGGTTTAGATTAGCCGATAACGAAATGTAAAATATAATAGATAGTATAATAACGAGGGTCGCATTCCTATACTGGCTATACTCGATCGCAGGTACCTACATGATAATAAATTATATAGATTTAATATTAGGCCCCAAACCTAATACAAAGCGCCATGTTAAAATATAATAGTATAATAATATATAAGCATATTCAACATCGTATGCTTTCGCTATACGTCGGACACAGATGGGGGGAGGAAAAGGAGGTATATATTGTGTAAATTGCGATGCAGGTGAACACCGCGCCGGTGCAGCCTCCTTCCCACTGCCTCGCACCCTCTCGCTGTCACTTGGCCGAGGACAAAGACGACGCACCGCGAGGAATTCGTTGTAAGAGCCGTGTCCAATCAGACGATGGCTTATAGATTATCTTTATATTGATATAATATTATATAGACATATGCGTGCGCAGGATTTTGTGTCTGGTACTCTGGTGCGCAGCGGCATCATATGGTTTTAACCGACCCGACAGAACGATAAACACCAAACGTATTTCTCTAGTTATAGGTAAAAAACCATAGCAGTATAGCACGCTACTCTACAAGGAAAATCTATGAATCATAATTATGTTTTTGTATATAAGTAACCATGACAACGAAAACGTATGTTTTGCAAACAATTTTGATCAAAAACATAATATTTATGTTAAAATATTAAAAGATGCGCACCGTAAAAATGATGTATTAGGTACATATACACGTATTACTATATACCTATACCTATCATTGGATTATATGATAGAGTAAAACGTCGTTTAGTACCTATTAAGCTTATCCTAACATAGGCGTATTTAGGAATATGTGCACAATTCCATTAAAATTTATTGAACGAATAGTGCCATTATTTATGTTTAAGTGATCATTCACTAATGATTCATTAAACGTTTAGAGGTTGTTTATGCAAACAGGCAGTATAGTTGTAATCTGCCATAATACCATAAATATTTCGGTGATATACGTTTGCAGTGAACAAACATTTCTCCAATCGTTTTCACCTGCTTTTTTTCGTGCGACGTTGCCAGATTTGTCAGTGTACACATTATTACGGTGGGTGGTAAAATACGATGTAGAGTTATAGGTAGTAAAATTATATTACACTGCATTACATGTACATCCAGTTACCTGAATATTTTCACTTAATTTGTAATGATTTTATGTTAACCAGCTCTATATTTTTACAAAGATAGTCTTATACAGAAGTGTAGTAGTCTTCGTGTTTCGTTTAAAGCTCGTTCGTACTATTTTAAGTTAAAAATTAAATACGGAAATAATTAAGTCCGAAAGAGGTTGGTTAAGGTGGCGAACTAATGAGTTAGGTCATTTTCTTAGAAATCGTAAAGAAGAATTTATTATAATTAATAATGAATAGGTATGTAGAGACAACAATTTCGATGCAAGTATTTTAAGAGCATTAAATGAAAGAATGTCGATTGGCACTTGATGAGCATATAAAAATTTCGTTCCTAGTAAATTGAACGACAAATCTTAAGAGAGCATTGTAACTGAAGAGGAGAAGGTAATATTTCTACAATACCATTAAAATTATACAAGCTTAATCAGTTAAAAATAAAACTGGACAGTTTTAATTTACATAAAAGAAAACATTTTGAATAAATCAAATATTTTAATCAATTCAATTTTTTATTTTAGTGTTTATTGTAAAACAAAAGGTACAATTGTAGTTATCATATACCAACATCACTTGTATTTAATTTATATTATATATTTTTATTTGATTTATTGTTTTTAGTTTTTAATAATGTTTCCCCAAATTCCGAATAAAATAAAACTTATTCATTTTTATATATTTTTGGATATATAGCCATAACATTTTGCTAACTAATTATTTCTATCATAAGCTTTAAGTGTTAAAACCAATGCCAGAATATTAGTGTAGTTCACGTGGCTTTGACTAAAATAAAAAAGTCATAATAGTATGTTTTTTAGATATAAGAAATGTATTCTTTAATTAGCCGACTCATTTGCATCGTGTTACAAAAATTGAAAACGTTCACGATTGGGTGTCACCCAAATAATTATAAATATTTTATACTACTATACTAAATAGGTAAACCTGCCAATAATTTGTCAAATCTTAACGTCCCAGAACGAGTCTTATATTATAAATTTGCTCATGAAATTATTACCTATCTAAGGCTCTCAAATTTTGGGTGGCTGTACTATTTATTCGCGTCTTGCGCTAAAAATGTATTCCTAATTGCGGCCTAGGTTTTCATTAGTGTACCTAAATACGAATAAAAATATAAAATTAATATTATATATTACGGAACTTAATTTTCCTTCTAATTTCTAATCTTTACCATAATTACAATAAACAGACTAAAATATATATTTTTTTGTAGTTTTAATTAAATATATTTTTTTAGTCCTCCTATTTTCTAAAATATTAATGATGGTACTGGTAAAAACTTGTATCATATTTTTTTAATAATTTTAATTTGTTAATTTTTAGCTGTCATCATTTTCAATGTCAAGGATAATATTATAGGAAGATAGAGTCCAGTGTTTCGACTCAATTTTGGACCATGAATAAATTTTAAATTTATATGGGTTACCCAAAAAATTAAACGTTGATATGTAATTAAATAGTAGAACCTAATTAATATTATGACTGGTTATTATTTTAATTAATATAAGTAATACCTGTAATTAAAAATAAATAAATGAAAAGTAATAGTTTCTTTTAGTCATGATAATTGAAAATAATAAGGGGCGGGGGTGGGTGGGTAACACCCATTGAATATTATTTTCAGAAAAATCAAGTGAAAATTTGTGTAAATATCTTGGGTCACCAACTCACTAAGGTTGAGTACTGCTGTTATAGACATTTATAATTATGAACAATAAAACATTCATATCATAATAAGTGATTGTAAGCTCTCCCGATTTTAATGACCTACTAACTATAGAGTCTACTCTAGTAATACCTTCGGGAGAGTTTACTAGTATTAAAAATTAAAAGAGTTTACCATACAATCGGTAAAGTTTACCTCCTCCCACTATAATATAAGTAATAATATTATGTTATAAGCTTATAAACCTATATTATTATAATTGCCGACTGTCGTTATTACTATCAAAAACTTAGATGTAATATGAACTTACATAACCAGGGCTGAAATTCGGTTTAAACTTATTTCATGGTTATAATATCTGACTATATAATAGTATGCGCCCAACATTAATTTTTGACTCTCATTAGTAATTTAAATATTTTATTTTATTTTAATGAATATGTTATTAGTACATGTTAAATTATAAAATTATCAATGTAAGGTATAGTAAAAATAAAAATTCATCATTGGTATTAAGTAATGGGTCTCAGAATTTGGCGATCGGTAGACCCCCAGAGACCACTCCTAAATACGTCATTTAATTGGGTATACAATTATATTACAAATGGCTTATAGGTATTTAATGGGAAATGGCTGTGTATGTGTGTGTAGGTCAAACACGTGTGGATACGTGTAGGTCAACACGTGTGGATACGTCTGACAGTATAAAAGATAAAACACTGATTTATCTTAGACTTCTGGCATCGATGAATAATTTTATAATAATATTATTTAGATTTTTAATTCATTAATATTAAATTATTCATAGGTATGTGGGCTGTAGGTATACTATGTTGAAGCCTCTTAAATAAATATTAATAAGCCGCCGCCACTGACAGAATCCACAACAAATTGGTGGCAGGTGCAGTGAAAGGACCATTCGTTGTATCCAAGGGCACTCCTATGTATACAGGTACAACGTAGATATAGGCATAGATGTGACACGGATATTTTATTATAAAACACCATAATATTATTATATTCGATAATATACACACACACCGCAACCAGTTCTAATCTCCTGCAGCTGCAGTCGGCGATCCCGAATTCCCACCGTCACGAAACCGGTTTTTTTCCTCGTCTTAAAACTATTTTGACGTCCGTGTGCATCTATATAATATACGGCGAGCTTAGATTTAAATTATGAACGGTACGTGTATAGTACGGCCAATGGCTGAAATGTGGAAATCGTATTTTTTTGAAGAAAAAAAACAATGTTCTACGACTCGGCCATATTGCATAACCTTACGAAATAGGCGTATGTATAGGCGTATAATATATTATAGTAATATTGTAGATTACCGTTATTAAAAAATCGATTATGGGCGCATATCTTCAAAATTAACACGCGATATAAAATCGTTTGTCCTTTTTCAACGTTTATTTTCGATATTTTCGTGTTAGGCACAACCTATATCGATACAACGAAAACTGGAATTATCGATGTTTCCAAAATATTATAGCTATGCACCTTATGTTGACTGTTGCACTTACCTGGGCCGACTCCACCATTATAGTATCCCCTCTGGCCTCTGGCAGTCTGACCCATCTTGTGTTGCTGGATAAAAATTCAGCTGCCAGCCAGCCACACCGATATCGTATGACTGTCGTCGTTATGATTTCAGTCGTTGTCATTCGATACAGGGTGACTAACGTGCGTGTACGTCGTACGCCTTGCACCCACATACTATTATTATCGTTGTTATCATTGTTATACAATATAATAGCATCGTTTATAACCATATATTTAACGACCATGGGTACTTACCTCGACAATCCGATAACCGAAAAAGTCTCTGAAGACATGGAAGACGACACGTTGGTGTGTGGCGTCAGTTCCATGCAGGGTTGGCGTATCAGACAAGAAGTAATGTTATATATTATAGCACAATTAATATAGTAATTAGTTATTATATATTAGTTATAAATATAAGCAAACAATAATGTGAGGGGAGAGAAGAGGGGTCTGATCTCTGAAACATCTCATTAGTCCCCTCCTCCTTCCGAAATTCAACTATGTTACAATAGGTAATAAACTAATAACTCATATAGGACCTATATTATATTATAGGTATATATTAAACACTAGCAGTACTATAATATAACGTTATATTGGCTTATTTTATTATACCAGTTACTATTATACCTTTCATTATTTTTATCGGTTATGACTATTTTCCACTTTTACTAATGGACCCATCTTTAATAAAATATTGTTACGGATTCACTCGGATTTCACTAAAACTTTTTACTCTACAGACGTAAATATGTTTATTTTAAAATAATAGTTGTGATATGAATCAAAAATTTAATTTCATAACCAAGAAGAAAGTATCGAGGATTTATATTAAAAGTTGTCTAGCACCAAAGAAATCAGAAAAACATAATAGGTAATTAGTATTTTTGTTTTTCTTTAAGAGTTTTTATCAGTGGTTATCAGTAAGTGATTACATTGTTTACGTTACAGATTGTTTACATTAAAGATAATTAGTATCATAATAACTGATTCCAATCAATTAATTTCGGAAACTACTCAATATTTCAAACATTGACTAACACATTATAATAATTACTGATTTAGAAATCCATACATACAAGAATAACAACAAGTTGAAAGGACTTTGGCATAGGAAAGAAGGCACGGAGAGCACCATAATATATAAGAGACCCCAAAATACAGTTTATTTAGATGTAACATAGTCACTGAACTAGCACGTTAGACTTCAGTGAAACTTCTATTTACAGACATTTATAAATTCCCAAGCATAAATATCCGTTGGAAAATACCTCTCCAAATAGTGGACACCACTTGATAGATGCCATTTTTTAACTCCCTATGGTGTTCGGCTAAGGAAAAGTTTTACCATTATTAAACATTATTATTGTACTTACGTGTATTTTACATATTTGCAATGTTTGAACTTCGACTGTTTTATTTAAATATAATATTATTTAAATTCTTATTATACACCTTTATTATTATTCAACCTTCCCTTACTGACAACATATTAAGTTCGCGGATTAACGTTAATCGATCGACATGCACAATATACAATTTATATTATAAGACTCTGGGGTTTCTGGTGTTTATATTGAAGGTATATAGCTGGTGTTTATATTGAAATCAATACTTTTATTAAATGCTCCAAGAATATTTAGGAATAGAATTTTTTATTTAACCGAAAATTGTGATGTACTTACATTATTATAAACAGTTTTGTATTAGGTACCTATATCAACTTTCTTACAACTATTTTCGACACTTTCACTTTCACTTTCAATAGTTGATAATATTGTATTATAGATAGAAAAGAGAATATGATTATGATTTCGAATATATTATGTTGTTTTTTTCCATATAATTTGAAAATTGTATCATTAAGAGGACGCCACATGTGTTGTTTCTGTTTTACTCACGTACGGGTACGACATAGACAAAAAGCGTTTACGCAATCTGAGTAAAACTCGCTCAATTTTGGTTATAGAATAAAAATACCTATTATAAAATTGAAATATGAGATTATTTCGGTGTTCAAGACTGTGCTTTTTTAAAAAGTTACAATTTTTTACAATTTTGAAATGGTCGTTATTTCTAAACAATATATTGAGTGTTATATTCGGAAAAATGAAAAACCACACAATTTAGCTTTCTAAAATATTGTCTTCTTTTCATTTTAAAATAGGTATTTTTACTCTAGAACCAAGATTAAGCTAGTTCTACGCAGACTGCGTAAAGGAGTTTTGTCTATGTCGTACGTGTGTACTGTGTATGCGGGGTGGCGTCCTATTAAGACAGCTAACCTGATAATAATTAATACGAGGTCCACTATCACGTGTTATTCTAACTATGATCATTGTACCTCTGTCAAACAGATGTAGTGTTCTAAATAGCAATGCGATTTCACAAACCTTGAAAATACTGGACACCGGAACCTTGTATAAATATATTCAAATAACTGGAACCGAAACCTATATTTTTAAACAAATAATATACGTTTTTAAATTGATTATTAATTTTGTTTTTATTTCCATTATAATTTGGGTCTGACCCACTGCACTGTTTTTTTTTACCGGCGCCCTAACCTTGACTATGCATTTATATTTACAAAAAACTGGTACTTGAACCAGTATCTTTTAATGGAAGTATTGTATACCCGGAACCACAATCGAAACCGAAAAAAAACCAAAGGTCCCTCGTTCTAAAACGATTATATATTATTATGTATATAGGAGAGTCGATGTTAACCGATACATGGATACGACTATATAATAATATCATTTACGATTTACGAGTGTAAATAATGATGCGTCATAGTTAAATATCTATTATTATTATGGTCATTAATAATAACTTATTATTATATTATTATCATTTAAGGATGCTCACTTCTGTCTACTTGACTTCGACAAAAATATGTCGCTTTTTGGTGTGTTTGACGGACACGGTGGTGCTGAGGTAGCTCGTTTGGCGGTTGAAGTGTTGCCTGATATGATAAGAAACCAACCTTTTAACATCGGCGATTATGAAAATGCTCTGAAAAACGCATACTTAGATTTTGACTTATATTTGCGCTCCAAGACCGCTTTGAATAGAATGAAAGTTCTTGCTGCACAAGATGATCCAGCGAATGCAGATGGTAAGTTATAATATATACTGGTAATGCAGTTGATTATTAGCTTGACCGGAAACGGTGATGTCTGTATTGACAAAAAAGGAATCAACTAACAGTAGTCACTCCTATTGGCTATTATTGTTGTTTTAAATAATTATTAAAATCAGAGAAACTACACACAAACATTTTGAATCCTCATATTTACGAAAAATATATTATAATAATATAGTTGGCAGTAAATGTATTTATTTTGATAGGATTATACAAATTTGTGTGCTTTTCGATTTTATTACATTGTATTCACTAAACTTACTCAATAACAATTGCCATAATTATTTTAGGTTAAAAATGGATTTATATACATATTGCTTATTGAATAATCTTACAATTATTATTACAATTTTCTCGTTAGATGTCAATGTAGACGACAAAAAGGATAACAAGAACAGCAATGAAGTCGATGAAGATATAAATAAAATGGTAACTAGTATGATTGTTAATGTTACTAATAATTTATATTATATATAATCATACAGTTAATGTACATGAGATTAGGAATTATTTTTTTTATAGTTTATTTACCTGTTAGATACTAAACCAATTATTATTTATTTTTAATTAAATTTATTTATTTAGGCGAAATTCAGTTTTTGGGCCTGATTATATTATTTCAACAATAAAATATATAACATTTATTACTCAATTACTGCAGATAAAATATAGATTATTTTATTTTGACTTAACAGTTTGAACATAATCTAAATTAAATAATGCACAAATTCACTTGGTTCAACTTTTGTATCTATATTTTAGTTACTGATTTCATAAAAATATTTAATTTATTTTTTATTTTTGCAGTATGGCTTTTACAGTGGTTGCACCGCAGTCGTTGCGTTAATAGTGGACAAGAAAAAGCTTTTTGTAGCTAACATCGGAGACTCCAGGTGTGTCGTTGCTGTTCACGGTACTAGAGCCATTGATATGTCAAAAGACCATAAGCCTAGGGACGAACCAGAGTTATTAAGAATTCGCGCAGCTGGAGCAAGAGTCACGTACGACGGACGAATCAATCGCGATCTCAATTTGTCTCGAGCTTTTGGTAAAAGTTTTATTTGCACGTTTTGTTTACAACTCAATAACATATTTTTATCATCATACAGGTGATCACATGTATAAGCAGAATAATTTGCTTCGGGAAACAGAACAAGTTGTCATCGCTCTACCCGACGTACAGGCCAGAATATTAAACGCAGAATACGGCGATTTTATAGTTTTGGGATGTGATGGCATATGGGATTCATTAAGTAGTCAGGCAACAGTAGACTTGATATCAAATCACATCAACGAACCCGATATAAAGCTATCGGAAATTTGCGAAAAAGTGAGGAGAAATATATAATTTATTATATAGAACGATTTTATTGTATTGGCTATTTTAATATACATAATAGGCTATTAATATTACAATTGATCGTTCGTTTCAGTTACTCGGCAAATGTTTCTCGGCTGAACGTCGTTCAAAAGGTGTCGATAACATGACATGCATTATTGTGAAATTTAAACCCAAGCAACGTCTATCGGATCAAAAGGATGGCGATCAAATCGCTTGCAAACTTAAATTGCTCGGGTTGCATTGAATTGACAACAATTACAGTTATTAATTGGCTATAGACTGCTCATAATATAACATTTTTATTTTATATCCAAACCAAAGTGAATTATATAAAGATTTGACGTATTCTACGTTTTATGGTATATAATATTTTTATTTTAATTGTATACACAAACTCAAATGAATTATCTAACGGTTTTACGTAGGTATTGTATTTTAATGTTCAGTTGAAAAATATCAGCATCTACACAATGTCTTAATATTATATTAACAATGCAATCATGAATTTAATTTTAAATCTATGGATCATCATTTAGATATTTTGTATACATTTGTTATGGGAAAATCAGGTTTTGGGATGGTTTGGTACTTATTGTAGTATTTCATTTTTTCTTAAATAAAAACAATTTGAAAATAAATCAGATTTTTGTTTTGTATATATACAGTAGGTATACACCTATTCTACATGTAATTAACAATTAGTTTTTAAGCTTAATTTAAATGCATTTACTTTTACAACATTCATTATTGCAAAAAATATTTACTTAATATTTTTTATCGAAATTATAGTGTTATATGGCAGTTAATGCAGATGGTTATTACTATTAGTATAGGGCTTGGAATTCTATGCATATACATATTTTTTCTAAAATGCTTGACTTAATTATTTTTAAGATATTATAAATGTGTTTCAAGTACATACTACGCTAACAACAAACTCTTATATGCATAGTTTATTTTTTTAGGATATCTTTAAACCTTAAAGGTCATAAATTCATTTTTTGAGTGTTTTTTTTTAGAGTTTTTAGGTTATAAATGCATTTTTCGATATTTTAAAGGGCATTTAAATCCGAGCAATAGTTATCTTGTGTTTAAGTTCTTTTCAAATGAGGTAAATGAGATTTAATTAGATTTGGTTTTTCAAATGAGGTTCAAAAAAGGGAACAAAACTATTTTTATTTTTTTTTGTGTAGGTAACCCAACTATTTTTTCACTTGGCTATAGGCATGGTACAGACTAATGCCCGAAATAGTTTTTATTAAAATGTCGATATAAATATTGTTTTAAAAGATATACCTAATAAATTTTACAATTTTAATATCAAAAATTTCAAAATAATTTTTGATATCAAATAATACAAATAATAATAATACAAATTATTTAATATCAAAAATTATTTTGAAATTTTTGATATTAGTTTATTATCTTTTGTATGGTTTAGAGTACCTTGCTATTATTTTATAAATGTTTGTTTATATTATATCGCGCTTGTTCTTCGCCTAGAGCAGTAGTGTATATATCTTTATACAATAGATTAACTATTGTACATTTGTTAATTGTATTTATTATCAAATATCTACGGACCAAAGTGTTGACAATTGACACATGTGTATGAATCAAGAATTAAGATATTACTATATATTATTATAATATATTACTATCACTGATAATTATTATTTTTTTATTTCCTATTGAACATGCAAATATTATTATAAAAGATGGGAATTATAAAAAAATGTCTTTTTTAAGTGACTGTGTATGAAATGTAATAAGTCCACATCCACTGACATCTTACATACATTACATATTATGTTTGTAATATAATAAAGCCAAAATGCTATAACTAAGCTAAAATGTAATTTCCAAAATTAAAGAATGGGGGGAGGAGGTCGTGTTAAATAATATTTCACATGGAGTTTTTAAATCGTTACATTTGAAAAAGGTATATTGTAAGCAAATTACAAAAATTAACGTTTTATAAAAAAATTATAGGTAGGTATGTATAATATAAAAAATCATAAACTCAAAATTCAAAAATAAAATGCATTTGTGTTTTTTTAAATTTTGTATACTAAGTGAATTATAAAAATTAGCTTTAAAAATATATAAATACATATCAATATGGTGCTATTTACGAGTACATTGTGTAAATTTGTATTTACATTAGTGTATTTACATGATTGCAAGCTTTGATTTGCGTCTCAGATTGTACAGATCAGTAGATATGTTAATAACCTTAAAAATATTTATCGAATACCTACCTGAGCCGTTTGGGAACTTAAGTATTCGTGAAACATTTTTCGAGTTTCGACCACTGCCGTTAGTGAATTTTATTTACCTGTTCGTAAAACTTTTTTCGAAAGGAGCCGTTCGGGAATATCAAACAATGGATGTGAGCCGTTTGGGATTCACCGAGTTGCGTCAAGATCGAAAAGGTCAAAAACAGGTCATAGTCTACTTGCAGTTATTTTAAACAAAAAGTAATAGTGTGACAGTGAATGTAAGTTCCTACACGTTACCTATCAGGTAAAAAAAAATACAAATGTTTGTTCCTAAGTCTTAACACTGTAGATAAATGAGATATTCAAGTTCCCACATTGAAAAAAAAGGTAAGTATGTAAGGAAGTTTCTACACGGCGGAAAAATATATATCTTATATCATAATAAAAAAATGAAAAGCTGTTAGTTGGTCATGGCTAAAACTCAAAAACCGTTTTGGTAATTTTTTTTTATGTTTGTAATAATATTACTCTCTCAAACAATAGACTTTTTTTATATTATACTTATACAGTTATACCTATACATTATGTACCTATGTAATAGTATTAAGTGTCCGTGTTCTACAGTCTAAAGTTTTACCCAACCGTTCAAAGTGTCCGCATATCGCACTCTTAATGTTCAACCGTACAAAGTGAACTGGAATCAGATGGTTTAGATTCAAAATTTTACCCTAAAGGTCCAACCCAGAGATATGCTCAAATGGGGATTTGAGATTTACGATGGGAATTTTGTTTTTAAATTGTTGCCATTGGTTACTCTGTGGAGATGCGGTAAAAGCATGCATACAATCTCGCCCTTAAATCTCGATCTTAAAACAAATGTGGGAGATGAATGTATGTTTGTAGCCTATATAAGTAATCAAAAACTACTTTACCGATTTTGTGAAAATTTCAAATCATTTTTGGAGTTTTTAGGAAAATGTATATAGTTATTTGAACCACGTTATATCGAACCACGTATATCAAGTACTAAATGCCTAAATCCAATCTACTGCTGGCGAATTGTCAATCTCGGTCGAATTAGTTCACAAACACCGACTTTAATTTGACCGTGACTGAGATACAAAAAAACCAAGATATATCTACCTATATGGCACTATATTTTATATTTTAGATTCTGAGTGAAACGATGAATGTATTGATTTTACAATGGTTTTTTTTTTTTTTTGTGTGTCTGTCATCACCTTTTAAGACAAAATACTTGGATTTTCTTCAACAGTATCTTTTCTGATAGGAAAGTGAATCCAGTTGGTACTTTGGGGGGGTCAAAAGTAAAAATTTCTCAGTAGTTTTCAAAAGCGCCATGAAAAACAAAAGAAAAATTAAGGAAAAACGGGAATTTTTACTCAAAATCTGTTTTCGAGAAAATCGATTTTGGTTTTTAGTGTAACTTTAAAACAAATGAACGTATATACATGAAATTTTCACTGGTTGTTTATACACGATAACATTTTCAAAATATTTTGATTTATTTTGAACCGTTTAGGGACATTTTCGGTTTCCAATTTTATTAGTTTTATTTTTTTATGAATATCAATAAAAAATTATTAGTTGGTTAAAAAAGCTTGATAATTTAATAGAAGGCTCCTAGTATATTGTTTCAAAGGCAGATGAAAAATATTAAAAATCCTTAGTCACAATTTTTTTCTATAAGCATTTAAAGTTAAAAAATTGACAAAATATGGAAAAATCACGAAAATTAGCAAATTATTTTGAGTTAAGAATTCGTAAAAATTTTTCTTTTTAAATCTAAGATTTTAAAATGTAATACAAGATTACTCATAAGTTTGTCTACCTTTATCAATAAAAAAATCTCTACCGGAAAGTCAAATTAAATTTTTATGAGCGTTTGAAATTCAAATTCTTACAACATTATTGGATATATACACTCGATTTCTCATGCAGCGATTTTCTTATTTTGTTGTAATTCAAAAACGAATAACTGTAGATACATGAAAATTTCACTGAATGTTCATATTAGCATTTCCTATACACTGTAAAATTTTGAAAATATTCTGACTCTTTTTGAGCTGTTTACGGACATTTTCAGTTTTAAATTTTTTTAGTTTTTTTTTCTATAAATAACAATCAAGTTTTATCTTTTGGGCCAAAAAGTGTAAAATTTTAATACGAGGTTCCTGATATATTGTTACAATAGCAATTGAAAAATATTAAAAATACATATGCACAATTTTTTTTTATAAGCATTTAAAGATCGAATTGTGACAAAATTTATCAAAATCTCGAAAATTATCAATCATTGTAATTAATAAATTATAAAATGTTCAGTTTTTATAGCTAAAGATTTCAAATTTAAAACAAAGGTTTTCATAAATAGTTCATACTGTAACCAAAAAATCTAAAAAATATATGAACACAGTTATTTTTTACAGACATTTTAAATTCAAATTTGGACGAAATTACATATTAAAATCAATATTAACCATCTTGGTTTTTTGTTGTAATTTAAAAATATTATTCGGGGATATATGAAACTGAAAAATCAAAATATTATGGCCTATCCATGCAATCTACCATAGTATAAGGAATAAGAAGTATGCTCAATGATAAGACTGTGCATATTTTAAGGGGCAATGAATAATTTATTCATAAATTCCATATAATTTAATACTATAGATAGGTAAGTATATAATATGTCTTATACCTAGACTGACATACCGTCTCCGTTTAGAATCGTTTTTCTTATACAATGATATTATATCATTGAATTCAAATTTAATACCATCCATTATACAGTGACCTACTTGTAACTTACAGTACAGGCGTACAGCAGAGCGACATCCACTTACCCACCTTTTTTTTTTATATTCTTACTAACTTTACCTACAAGGAATTCACATTTATATTTCATTTATAAGTCTAATTAAATAAATACTGTATTTTTGTAAAATTGACAATTTTTTTCTCCAAGTATAATTAAAATTATAAGTAAATTTTAGGTTTT